GAAAGTCTAAAGACTTTACTAAAGTAAAAGCTCTAGATGCTGGCTTCTGACCATGAACCCTCCTGACCAAGACTGACCCGGACCCTGCCACCAAGTGATGTCCACATTCTCCTTGGGCTCCTCACAATTTCCCAAATCACCACCATCTCTTGGTTTTGACTTACATAATGTTTTCTTTGGGGTTGGGATGAGGGGAGCAGGGGAGACCAAAAGCCAGCGGAAAACCCTCAATAGCTGCCTTGGCAGAATCCAGCCTTGACTCTGTGTCCTGCATCGTTGTGTCCTTTGTGTGTGTGTTTTTGGTGAAGTCCTTTTATTCACATTCCAATAGACATGGACCTCGTCCAGCTCCCAGAGGTCCTAGAAGATAAGCAGCCATGTCATGGGAAGCATGTGGACTTGGATAGTCTGGAAAATTGATGAGAAGTGAGTGGGCAGAGATGAGCAGGGGGTAGTGGCCACAGAGTCCCTGGCCAGACATGGAAATGAGCACTGTGGTGTTTGGATTGTCTGCAACGTGAGAAGAAAACAGTACTTCCCCTTGATTTTAAGCAAAGAACTTGGTTAGAACCAAGCTAGTGGGGGGATCAGCAATTGCTTGTCTACATAATGTGAGAGTGGATGGCCCCGTGCTTTTACAAAATGCACAGATAGTCCTCAAAGTATGGAATTAGCAGGTGAGGACAACTTTAGAGACTACCTAGGCCACCATCCTAATTTTACATGAGGAGCTGAGGCCCTGGAGACCCGAACTGGCATGGCTCTCAGGAAGCAGAGCTAGGGTTGACACCCGGGATTGTCAAGTGCTCATCAAGACCATCTGTCCCATAGGAATCCTTCACTGGGTGCTTCCTGCTGCCAGCAACCAGTTGCATGACCTTGGATGAGGTCTGGAACTCCGGGCCTCTGGTTCCTTATCTGTCAGCTGAGGCCAAGGAACTGTGTGACCTGCAGGCTGCCTCCCAGAAACCACATTCCAGGATACTCTGTTCCCCTTCCAACCCAAGGCAGCCTGGCCCCCCAGCTAGCAGGCACTTTTATCTCCCACACTCTGGCCAGGAGTTGTTTTTTTGGCCACAGTGGCAGAAATGGGTCAGGATGGAGGATTCTTGGCGTTCTAAGCTGCTAGGCTAGTGCTTCCTTCCCTTTGACCTAGGTAGGAACAAGAAGGCCTGGTTTTCCTCCACTTTTGCTGATCCATGACTCCCACCCCAACCCCATCCTCAGCCTCTATACCTGAGAGGCAGGGAGGTGGTCATAAGCACCAGCTCTGGAGCTGGATGGCCTGCTAACAGGGGTCCTCAGGCAGTCACCTGGCCTCCCCTTGCCTCTCAGTTTCTCCATCTGTAGAATGGGGCTAGCAATAGTACTCCCCCCCCCCAAGGCAAGGACTGCATGAGCTAGTATGTGTAAAGCACTCAGAACCTGCACATAGTAAGGGCTGCACAAGTGTTAGGTGTTACTGCGACTGTCACATACATATCTATCCAACATAGAAAAATCCTTCCCTTCTATGACCCGGCCAGGATCTGAGTTGCTCAATTCTAGCTGAGGGAGCGTCTGCAGCAGGATTAGCTGGTGGGAATCAGACCCATGCAGCACCAAGCAACCTTCATTCTGCCTTTGAAAGAGGACCCCCCTAAACCTCCCAGAAAAATCCGCCCCCCCCCCCCATTGAAGTGATTCCCGTGTAACCACAGTCTGGAGCACAACTGGCTGAGATTTTCATTCACCACAGACTCAGTCTCCATTTCCCTTCTCCAGATTCCATTGGAGCAGATCAGATGTCACATGGGATAACATCACATTGTTGTCAGCACCCCACTCACTAGCCCCCGAAACTCCAGGGGAAAGGAGAGGGAAGCTCTAAGCTCTGCTCTGCCCCACCTGGCATGCCCTGAGCCTTTGGCAGCTGCTCACCCCCTCCTCACCCTGCCATTCTCAGCTTTCTGTCCATCTTTGGGGGTGGGGGTCTTCACAGTGCAGGCTCCCCACCCGAAGCTAGTGAAACTGGCTGAGTTGGGACTCGATCCTACACTTTCTCTCCCAGCCTAGAGACCCCGGAGCGCCAATCTGCAGAGCCAGGAGAAACTCTGCTCCCTGATTTTAATTAAGGACGAATGCATCCTGCAAGACTCAGAGATTCTGTTTCTCTAAACCCAGACCAATGTGTTTGTGTGGTCAGGCCCAGTCATCTCAACAGAGGAATGTGCCCCCACCCCCACCCTCTGCCCCCGGCTGCAGAAGGACCATTTCCCAGTGGCCTCTCAGCAAATGTCCACCCCAGAAGACAGGGAAAGTGGAGGATGCTTCAGAGCAAAAAGTGATTGGAATTAAGAACATGGGCACAATGTGTTAAAATTCTCAAATGCTCGATGAATGAAATGTTTGCCATCCACGGTGTGCCCTGTTTGCCTAAATGGAGGGTAACCCTCAAATAACACAATCCCCCACTTCCCTAACGAGGCACATTTAACACTTTTTTTGCCGGCATAGTAGGAATGAGAAGTGTGGTTGCCTTGGAGGTAGGAGATGGGAATGAACTAGGAGACCAGAGGGAACTTTGTGGAGTGAGTGACAGATTCTATACCTTCACTGGGGTGGTGGTGATGTGAGTGATTTCATTTGTCAAATTTCATCAGACTGCACCCTTAGGATCTGTGCATGTTTGTGAATGTAAATTCTACCTCAATAAAAGAGTTAGAAACATGAATTAAATAATCTCTACTTATAATATTTAACCTAACCATGCAGTTGCATACCTAAAATCATGTAAGAATAATATACTAATTTATATTACTCTTCCCATTCTCACATCTCCTGAAATGATTTTGTACAAATGTATATCTTTTGAGATCAGTGTATATCACAATGAAGCCACTTTTTAGTCCACAGTTTTCCAGAGCATATCATCTTGAATTTGTCTAATTAATTTGAAATGTAGTACATTTTGAATCCAGGCTTCTTGGTGAAATTTTATTGCAAAGCACAAATGCTCATTTGTGTAACATTGCAGCAGTTTTTCTCATTTTTCTTGTGATTATTCATAATCCTCACTACTTGTTTTGCTTTCCAAAATGAGCTTTAAAATACTTAGCATGGTTTGACACACTTGCACCCCAGGAATAATCCCTAAGTTTATGTTAAATCTCATTTCTGCCTTCCCATTAATTCCCTCTCATGACCTCTAAAAGCAGCCAAAACCAGTATTGATTTGAGAACATTTCAGACTGACATGTCTTCCCAGATTTTATGATTCCAATAAAGTAATTGAGACAGTCCCAAATTATGAGATATTCTTAAAGAATAATAAATCCTAAACTATCAGAGATTGGTAAAGGCTACACTCTCTTTTCTAATAATCAGTTTGAGGAAATAGATTTTCATCTTATTTGTTTTTAGGCATATATAGTAGATCCTGCCATATGTGTTTAGACCAAAGATAAAATTGAGATTAATGCAGCAAATTTGGGAGTCTTATTTTATAGTTCATCATGAAAAGACTAGCACTGTTGGCCTAAGTTAGAAGTTTATGTAAAAATTTTAAGTTTTGCTCCCTACCATGAGTGGGAAGCTGAAACATTCTTATATAAATTCAAACACACTATGTTTTCCTCAAGGGTATTAAAAATAATAATCAACTGTTTGATTTAAACAGACAATTCTGGTTAGAAATGGGATTATAAACACAATCCTAAATTATAAATTACTAATTATGACTCTTAGCACTTGACCTTAAGTTCTATCTGGTCCTTGGCCACAACCAGTGTGGTGTGATGATCTAGGTAAAGAAGTCTTGAGGTTTTATCAACATTTCCTCAGTATAGGCATCAAAAATAGTGTTGTTCTTAAAGAAACCACCATGGAAGACCATACACTGTTGTTTCAATGTGTTTTGTTTTTAATGTTGTTGTTGCTCAGCACTCTTGCTACTGCCATCAGAAGCAAGATCAGATAACTCACCAAGAGCTCAGGGGCATATAAGCTCCCGTATGGCTCAGTGTGGTGGCTGCCCAACCTTTTTTTTTTTTTTTTTTTTTTTTTTTGAAGTAGAACCCTCGTTTTAAGTGACTTTATATGTGGTTGCTGCTCTAGTTAGAGCAGAGAATGGGGCCCAGAGAAGTCCTGCTAGATGCCTCTTCTCTCTAGGAAGATGACTATGGGGTTTTACAGCACCCTAGGAGTTCCATGGAACACAGTTTGAAAACCTCTGGCAGTGGACCATGCATGAAGGCTTGGGCTCAGAAGACCTGGCTTCAAAACCTGGGTTCTGAACTCTGTGATTGTTGGCAAATGACTTAGCCTGAGTCTCATTTTCCTCATCTGGACAAAGCATGAAAGCTTATCTCAGAGAGTAGCTACAAGGAGGCTTATAAATGTGCTTTAGAAACTGTAAAGTATAAGGTTGGTTTGTTCCTTAAGTCTCACTGTCTCCTGAGTGAAAATAAGTCAATCAGAGAAGGACAAACATTATATGGTCTCATTCATTTGGGGAATATATAAAAAATAGTGAAAGGGAATAAAGGGGAAAGGAGAAAAAATGAGTGGGAAATATCAGAGAGGGGGACAGAACATGAGAGACTCCTAACTCTGGGAAACGAACTAGGGGTGGTGGAAGGGGAGGAGTGCGGGGGGTGGGGGTGACTGGGTGACGGGCACTGAGGTGGGCATTTGATGGGATGAGCACTGGGTGTTACTCTTTATCTTGGCAAATTGAACTCCAATAAAAAAAATTTATAAGAAAAAAAAAGTCTCGCTATCTCCTAGTCACATCTCATTTGCATGTTGTATGCCATCTCATCTTGATTATTTAAGGACTTAGGATTGTTTGGCCTGGTTGATTCTACTATCCTGCCCTTCAGCTTTGCAGCCATATTGTCCACTGGACAATGGATGAGGGGGAAGAGATGACTTTGCTATCACCCCTGCAAGAAGGGATTGCAAGCTTATGATTTCATTCTTGGGTCAGACCACTCTGATCGATTTCTTTTCACTTTCAGGTGGGCCAAGAGAAGGGAAACTGTTCTTTCCAGAAAAACCCAACCCCCTGCATCATCCCTCAGGAGCAAGAAAATATCTTCCATACAATATTTGCCTTTTTCACAAAGTCTGGAAGAAAAGTCTTGGTAAGAATTTGCTTACTAGTTGGGTTAACATGGGTGGTCCTCACCAGGAAGGCAAGTCTGAGATGAGAGGCCAGTTTTCTATTTGGCATTTATTATTTCCCAAATCTGGTTTTCATCAATTGGCGTATAAAGTCACAAGGACTGTGGTTAACTCCTATTTTTCAGCCTGAGGTTTCAATCAAAGTGTTAAATTTACATTCCAAATTCCATCGCCTGGCAAAAGGAAAACCTTTGCAACCCACCAAACACAAAGTAAAACATTTTTCCAACTAGTATGAGTCTAATCAAGAGTGATGGTTCTCCTACAAGCATTTCGGAAAACTCTTGGGTAGGATCCACTAAACTAAACATCTCTCTATCCTGTGACCCAGCAGTTCCACTCCCAGGTATATCCCCAAGAGAAATGAGTATTTCTATCCCCCAAAAGACATGGATAAGAACATTTATAGCAATCTTCTTATAGCTAAAAGCTAGGAACAGTCCAGATCCCCATCAATAGGAGAATGGGTAGACAATTGTTGCAGAGCCGCACAGGGGAATATTACAGAGTAATGAACAATACTACCACACAGAGCGACATGAATGAATCTCACAGACATAGTAACACCTGAAAGAAGCTGGAGCCAAAGCACACATATAAAATTTCACTTATATGACATTCAGATAGCAAGCCTAGCAATGATGTTGGAGGTTGGGATAGTGGTTACTCTTGAAAGAATAGCAACAGGCAGGGGCATGAGGGAACCTGCTTACGTACCAGAAATGTTCTACATCTTGATCTGGGTGTGACATGTAAAATATATCAAGATGGGCCCTTAAGATTAATTCTGTCCACTATGTATAAGTTTTACCTCCATTGTTTTAAAGTGAGTGTTTTAAAGTGTTTTAAAGTGAAGATAGAATTGTATGTTTTCCCAAAGCCTCCTTTCCCCCATATATTTGGTTACATCCCTTTAGCTCCTTATTTCAAGCTGGGCACATCTTGCTCACATTTTTTTTCTCTTTTTTTTCCTGACAAAAAAAAAGTAGGACTGTTTGCCACTTGGAATATGGGGCTGGTTTTTTGGGTTTGAGGATTTTTCTTTTTTTTCCCCCAGGTTTTTTGTTTTGTTTTGTGTTTTGTATTTTTTTTACTTACCTACTTGTTTTTGTTTTTTTTATTTTACTTACCTAGTGCTGATGACACAACTACTTTTGAAAGCCCTTAGAATTGTTAGGCACAGTGATATCTAGTTGTTAGACAGGACTCTGTATCTGCTGACAGTTTTACCTCACCCTTGAAACATCATAAATCTATGTATATACATTCTGGATCCTACCTTAGAAAAGAGAAGAATTCCTCTTTTGTAACTTAATTTGGAATTTAGATTTCTATTGGTGACTCACGTGTTTTCTTGGTCAAACGTGCTTTTCTTTACTCGTATGTTTTCTTGAGTCCTATGACTTCTTAACCCTCTTATTTGCTCTACCTGAAAAAGGAACATGAAAGTATAATTGCCACTGCACAGGCAAAAGTTACATAATGTAAGGAAATACATCTTGTGTTCAGAACTCTAAGGAAAATAATTTCGGAATATGTAAATGTGTTTATTTTTGAAAATGATTATTTCTCCTTGTGAAATCCAATATTTTGGTAGGGTAAACCAGGCTTTTTCCCATTTGCTTGACTTGAAAGTATGTTCTGGTGCCTGCTGGGCAGGAAATCCCTCTGTTGCCCTCTGGTGGCAGGAAGAAATGATGATTGCATCTAACTGGAATTCCTGGGAATGCCTGCTATTGTAGTGACCAGAATAGAACCTCATGGACCACTCTGCTCCATAAACTGCTGTGCATTTGTCTTTGTTTTTAATAGCATTTGTAAGTTCTCTGATTTTTCTTCTCAGGACTGTGAAAAACCAGGAATTTCTTGCCTAACAATTCACTGTAACCTTAGTGCACTTGCTAAAGAAGAAAGTCGTACTATAGACATTTACATGCTGCTGAACACAGAAATATTGAAGAAGGTAATTCCGGGGCACCTGGGTGGCTCAGTTGGTTAAGCATCTGCCTTCAGCTCAGGTCATGATCCCAGGGTCCTAGGACTGAGCCATATAAAGAGCTCCCAGCTTAGCAGGGAGCCTGCTTCTTCCTCTCCCTCTGCCTGCCTCTCCCCTGCTTATGTGTGCTCGCTCATTCTCTCTCGATCTCTCTGTCTTTCTCTGTCAAATAAATAAATAAAATATTTTTTAAAAATTAAAAATAAATTAAAAGTAGGTGATTCCTGAGGAATTTAAAAGCATTGAAGTGGGTTTTCTCGAAACTCTGCCCCTTCTAAAACTTCTCTGGCAAATGCCATTGGTAATTCACTGCTGGAGGATGCTGAGGGTGGGAGATACAGATCCTTGCTGTTCCAAGTGTGGTCTGAGGACCAGCAGTATCTGCATCACTTGGGAACTTATTATAAATGTGGAATTAAAGAAAAGAAAAAAGAAATGCAGAATCTTGGGCTCTATGACTCAGACACAGCATCTTCAGTTTCATAAGCTCACCAGGTGTTTTGTTTGCACATTTAAGTTTCTCAGACTTCAGCTTGCGTCCAAATCACCTGGAGACCTTATTAAAATGGAAATTCCTGGGAGGTGGAGTTTCAGATTCTGTATTTCTGACAAGCTCCCAAGTGATGCCAGTACCTCTGCTATCCGGACCCAATTCTAAATCAGAGGTTGGCAAACATTTTCTGTAAAAGGCCAGTAGTAAATATTTCAGGCTTTACAGGCCATACAGTCTCTTGCCACAGCTCAGCTCTGCCATTGTAGTGTGAAAACAGCCACAGACCATGCTCAAATGACTGGGTGTGGCTGTGTCCCAATAAAACTTTATTTACAAAAACAGGCAAAGGCCCAGATTTGACCCATGGGTGGTTGCTTACCAGTCCTTTGTTTGGCCAACACCTACCTTCAGAGAAGTCCAACTTTTGAATTTCAGATGACTTTGTCATTCCTATTTTGAGTTTATCAAAAGTGCCTCATTTAAAAATACCTCAGTCAGTGAATTAGTGGTTCTTTAAAAATGTCATATGAATTCACTGATTTTTATTTTAACATAAGAGCTGCTGACTCTGAAAGGCCACATCCAACAAGATGCTTTAAAAATAATCACTTGTGAAGATAAAATATGCATGTTAGCCACAGAGATTCTATTTATTTTCCTCTGGAAAAACTAAATGTGTTCAGTATAAGCCTGAATGAATATCTTTAGAAAAGTCTTTCCAACGTTAGTTTTTAAATTAGGCATGGCAGTGGCATGTGGACCTGAGAAATCTTAGGCAGAGGGGACACAGGATGCTTCGCCCACTGTCCATCTGTCGTTGGTGCAGCCCACACGCACTCAGGGGAAGCTGTGCACAGTTCTCTCTGATTTCCTTTGCAGGGAAATTAGTTTGGACTGCTGTTCCCAAGGGCCATCCAGCCCAATCTGCACCCCAAGAGATGGCTGTGGGGTGTCATATGTAGGTGTTAGAGGATCACTCTCCCTGCAAGTGCCCTTTCTGTAGAAACCAGAAATTCCAGGTGCTGAGGAAAGCCTAAAATGAGGCCGACCTGGAACCAGATGGGGCATCAGTTGCTCCCGACGCTTGACATGCAGAATGTTAGTGCCCCAAAGCCAGCCACGACCTCCCCTGGGGAGTGAGCACTGGCCGGCTCTGGGAGCCCTCTGGCCTCCCAAAGGTTATGGAGCTGCTCCAGCCTTGTGGTTTGCCTGTATATATGGTTGTGTTTATTTTCCTTTGACCTCAAGATCCAGCCCAGCACCAGACAAGGGAATTTGAGGTCTTATTGTTTTGATCCTAACAAGTTTTCATTTGAAATGTAAGGTCTGCCTTTTTAAATTAACAGAGGCTTCAGATTTCTCTGAAAGTGTTCTTCTACAACCACCAGGGGCCTGTCCTGTGGCAGGCTGCTCATCTGCTCGGCCTTTGACTCTGACAGCTACCATCGTCATTACTGTTATTGTTGTATAAATATCCAAGATGATGATTATCCAAGCTTGCAAACACAGTATATCCTGACACATAAAGCCACAAATCTGCAAAACTGTTAAGTCAGGAAAAGACGATTTGCATACAAAATTATTTACTGCTTCATGAGAGCTCACTGGAGCAGTTTGAGTGACAAGCTTCCAAGAAGCATTTAAATTTGGTTTTAGGGGCACCTGGATGGCTCATGGGTTAAGCATCTGCCTTTGGCTCAGGGCATGATCCAGGGTTCTGGGACCTAGTCCTGCATCAGGCTTCCCACAGGGATCCTGCTTCTCCCTCTGCCTGTGTCTCTGCCTCTCTCTCTGTGTGCCTCATGAATAAATACATAAAATTTAAAAAAAAAATAAAAGTAAGAATAAAATTGGTTTTATTGCTGTTTAAGAATAAGAACTAATGCGTAAGTCCCAGGTAAAGTACACAAAGTAGCATCCCCATGTGTCATCCCAGGAAGGTTTCTGTGATTTCTTTGACAGAGATGAGTGGGGGGCTCCCTCAGAACGGTTTCCTATGAGAGTCCTCTGCTTTCACTTCTGGGGGGTAGGTTTTGCCAGAAGTGGGTGGAAGCTGGCATCTGATCTGTGCCTCCATGTGCGACAGGCAGGCTGAGGAGATGTGGGTGGGTGAACTACGAGACACCTTCCTGACAGAGCTCCAGCTCCCCCCAGCAGGTGGGCTGCGGAACACTCCAGTAGCCTGCACTGTTTCCACGCCTGAAGCCAGGCTGCTCCTCCACTGCGGTCAGTATAGCACCATCTGTACCACTGGCTCAAGGTCGTGACCCTTTCCGGAGCCAGAGTTTTGCCCTTTTTCTAAATTCCTCCTGCATCCCTGCCTGGGAACCATTTTCTCATTATCTGGATCTGAACCCCCACCAAGGCCTGCGACGGCATCTGGCTAGTGGACTCTTCCTGAGTCTTAGACATGCCCACGCCCACCCCGGACCCCTTGCTTCTCAGGCCACAGCCTGATTTAAAAACCAGATGTTTCCATTTCTCCTTCCCTCTACCCGGTACCCTCTCTCCATGTGAAATGGATTTGACCCCCAGACACCCTCCTGTAAGGGTAAAGAATGAGTTAAAAGTAACTCATGTAAAGGGTTTGAGGGTTGTGGTCAGAGAAGGAAGATGCTTGAGAAATAGAAATCAGATGCCTTCTATGGAATGCCAGGCCCAGATTTGTTGTACACAATTAAACAGCTTTATTTATTTTCTACTCTTTGTGAATATGTCAGTATCAATATCCAAATATCTGGCTCTTACCACTTGGAAACCATGGCACACAAGCTTGCATGTACTGATGATTGGCAAAACTTCCATTTTTCAGCACCCACCATGGCATGAAAGAATTCTCAAGAAAGACTGTAAAATTCTGCTTATGTAGGTACCCGGGATGGGAAGGTATCTGGTTCAGTGATAACATTTTTGTCCGTCTCCCATGGAATCTTAGAATTTCAGTTTTGCCCGGTACCTTAAGGCCTAACCACTATAACTAAAAAAAAGTCTGAGTTGTATTGTTTCCTCCACAGGACAGTTCATCTGTCATCCAGTTTATGACCCGCGCCAAGGTCAAGGTGGACCCTGCCCTGAGGGTGGTGGAGATAGCCAACGGGAACCCAGAAGAGATGACGGTGAGTCAGCCACCCCTAGAACAGCACTCCTTAGAGGGTGGGGAAATCTGGGTGGCTTGGTGCTAGAATTTGAGGGTAAAGATGGTCTCTGAGCCAAGATTTGTGGTAGACCCAAGACCATGCCTGCCTTGGCTTCCAGGCCCACATGGAGAATTTCTGCCGTCTGCTCTTGTGATAGCATTGCTCTTTACTGTGCCATCATTATGTGAAAGCTCCCTGCTATGACCAGCCAAAGGAAAAATAGTCTGGAAGTACCCTTGACAGGGCTTGAATTTCCATTCGGAAAGCCAAGACTATTTTTATCTTTTTCAGACCTTTCCCTGAAATCTCATCTGTGCCACCCCCCATAACATTGCTTCATGGATAAACACTGGATGTTTTAAAAACAAGTTGTTTAAATAACTTTAAAGAGGTCACATCCAAATTTCCAAGGCCTAGAACCTTCTTTCATTCTCTAACCCCTTGTCCTCCATAGAGTACAGTTGGGATGCAGGCCTCAGAGACATAGGAAGGCACAGCAGCAAGGAAGCTTGGACGTCGGGGTGTGAGAGAGACTGGAGGGGAAGTGTGGCCTTGGGATTGTACTGCCCTTTACTGGCTTTCGGGGATGGGCAGGGAGGCACATCCCTGACACCCACACTCAGATCCTAGGCAGATAGAAAGGGGAAACAGCAACCTGTGAACTGGTTTTGCCACTGAGCTAGACAATGACATTTCTTTTTTGTGCTCCTTCCCTGGAATTCACCTTCTCTCGGGGACTCTTGGAAGCATCCATGTTGCTGTGATAAATTTACATATGTGATAAATTCATAGAGATTATGTAGCTATAAAGAAAAGGTTGCTAACTAACTCTGGGAAATGAACAAGGGGTAGTGGAAGGGGAAGTGGCCGGGGGGTTGGGGTGATTGGGTGATGGGCAATGAGGGGGGCACTTGGCGGAAGGAGCACTGGGTGTTATGCTGTATGTTGGCAAATTGAACTCCAATTTAAAAAATTTAAAAAAAGAAAAGGTTGTTAACTTATTTCCCATCAACAATGCAAACACCATGCATCTGAAGGTTAGGATGGGGATCAGACCAGAGCCCACTCTTATAAGACCCTAAACAGTAAGCCTCTGGGACCACCTCGAAACCTCAGGCCTGCTCCTGTGTGCAGCAAACAAGAGACGAGAGCATTGGCTGGTACAGAATGAATGTGGATCTGTGAAGCTCCGGAGATGGGATGTTTGAGATGCCCCAGGGCTTGGACATTGCATGCTGAATGCAGGAAAGGGCCATCCATCAGATGCGGAGCTTGACTCCTCTATTCATACCAAGGAATTGACCAGGTGCTAATTTTAATAACGGAAACCAAATGGGATGAGAAGGAAAGGCATTGGCATCTCTCACCTTTGAGGAGGAGTTTTTCTGGCAGTTGGATATTTGGAGCTGGCTTTTGCCTCTCCCTCCCTGCCTTTTGGCCATTGCACTGCCAATTCAGACTCTCACCTGAGAAGTGAAGGAGATCGTAATTCATCACTCATTGTCATAGCTCTGGTTAAAGAGTTTTCTAGAATTCAATCCATGCCCAACACGAGAGGTTTGGAATATTTGGGTAGACCACAGTGTTCCCAGTTAAGAGCAAATGGATGTAATTTAGCAGGTTTTCTACAGGTGGAATCCCTTGTGTAGATGAAAAAAAAAAAATCACTGGGCCCATTGCCTTTGATGACAACACTGAACTGTGGGATCCAGGAAGACATTGCTTAACATCCCATTGTTGGCTTCTGAGTCATCTGTACGCCCCCAAAATACCACTTCCATTAATTACTGTTCCGTTTTGAGCACTATGGTGATATTTTCATTATCAAGAGTTCTTTGGAAGAAGCTCTCATTTCAACTGATTTTTCTTTAGTACTCAGCCATCAGAATCCTACAATGTCCCACTCTCCCTCCTTTCCAGGACTTTGCTTTTCAATCCATGAGCTAAGATGAAGTCCTACAATCTGTTCTCAACTTTCCTGGCAGGAAAAAAGAAATCTTTTCTGAGTAGGAACGTTTACTTTTTTAGAACAAACACGTTCTTCCCTGCATGAGTCTTCTGAATGCCTGGCTCTCTGTCAACTGTCTTTTTGAGGGGAAATTTCCATGGAGGGTAGCCACCAGATTTAAACCAAGCAAAATTTCACAAGATTTTAGATTAGGTACCAAATTTTGATGGCCTTGGAATGAATAGGAAGTGTACCTGTAGCTGGTATGAACAGGGTATGGGCAAGAAGAGAAATCTGATTTGTAACTACATGAGGTGTACACGGTGGTAAATTTCATCGACAGGGACATGAAATGATTTTCCTGTGACCTTGTGGATCTTTTCTTTTTATGCTATGGTCTGAGTGGTGCTTTACAAAGCATTTGGATGAATACCTAAAAATATGTAATAGATTCTTGAAGCATTTGCCCTGATTATTGATAAATAGACGTGGGAGTACTTTCCAGGTCATGTGTTAGCATTTGTCCAAGACCAACCACACCAAGCTTATCTGTGTGCAGATCCAAACCTGAGAGTTCCAGGTGAGACCAGTGAGGTGGCATTCCATACTGGTTTCCAGGTGCCAAGAGTATGCTGCATCTCGTATTCTTATTCCACCCAGCCCTTCTTACTTTTCAGGGAGAGTTGCCAACAACTAAAGCTAAAAACTCCCACAGGGCAAACCAAAAATCTGGAGAATGGGCTTTGCGACTGCAAGCCACCGCCCCCAACTCCCTTCCCAGGCTGGGTGAGAAGCCTCTATGAATTACATAGCAAACCTATTTCCTTGATATTTTCAAATAGCAGAAAATATGATACACACATAAATCTCTAGACGAATAAGTCATTGCCATGTGGACTGTGTACCAGGCTGAGATCTTAGGAGCAAGTAGGAGGGACTGGCTCTGTCTCTCTTCCGCAGAATCACAGTAGGTTCAGAGACTATTGTGGCTCCCAGAATTGCCAAGAAGGCTGGAGAACCAGACTAGTGATAGGAGAGGAATTAAGAAACCCAAGGAGCCAGGACCACAGGCTCAGTCAGGCCACAGGAAGAGCCTGGCATGGTGCCCGGGACACAGATGTGCCTAGCTTCTCTCGGCCCCTTGCTCCAGAGTCAGGCAGGAGGCTTTCACTAGCTGAGGTTAGGTCCCTGTCGCCAGGAGACCACATCCCAGGGAAAGCAGATCACCGACATTTCTGCCTCACCATTGCCCTGAGACTCACGCAGAGGAGGATTCCCCAGCACTAGGAGGGAGGTCATCACGGAACTGCTAAAAAGTGACAAGTGTCCCCTCCCCTGTGCTTCTCCAATCCTTGAGGCTCAATATTGGGCCAGCTAACCATTCCCAAGCTCTTCTTAGGGCATCCCTCTGAGCCAGAGTCCTTGTTCAATCATTTAGACCATTCTTTTGGGCAAGCTGCAACCTTAGTGAGGGAATGTAAAAATCTTTCTCCAAAGATGGTTAAGGAGTATTTGTGCTCTTTTGCTTTTTTATTTTTTTAAGAAAGCGTGTGCTTGAATGAGTGCTGTTTCCTTGCTTATTTGACAGGGCAAATGTTTGGGGCCCTTCTCCGTCTGCCATGGTGCATGGGAACCATATGTCCACATTGGCATTCACCTCCCTCGTGCAGCTCACTGCCACCAGCATCCCTTCTGCAGATGGGAAGATAGGTCAGATTTCTAACAAGTGCCCGAAGATTCCCTTTTGCCTACCACCCCGCGTTAGAGCCGCTAGTCTCTTGCTCTACTGAACACAGGGCCTCTGATACTTGGGAAGAAGAAATGATTTGCCCAAGATCTCACAGGGACTGAACCAAGAACAGTGCCCAGAACCTTTGAGTCCCAGCCTGGTGTTCCTTCCCCTTCCCCACTGCAGCCAGCCAGACCCTGGGGAAGGCACTGAGCCAAGGGGGGTGAAACAGCCTGGACAAATGCAAAGTATCCAGTATGGAAAGGAAATCATTGACCTGTTTTAAAGCATCTCTATTAAAAACCGCCCAGGTGGCCTTGGAGCCCAGCCAGCTCCTTCAGACTGGACCTGGTTGTCCTCACCCCAGTAGGAGCTTTCTCCTCTCATCCCTAATCAGACCCCACAATGAAGCCATGGGATCACAGCCATGCTTTCACTCCCAAAGAAATCTGCCCTCTCAAACACTAATGGATCAGGACAGCAAGTTGCAGGTTCATTTTCTCTGAAGTCATTTCAGTTCAATTCCCAGACTTGGCCCTTTCGAGAAGTCAGACCTGAATACAGAGCACTGCATCTCCCCTTGGGAGTCAGGAAAGCCTAGATTCAAATCCATCTCCCTCACATCCTAGCTGTGTGACTTTGGGTGGCAGGTAGGCTCTGTGAGCCTCAGTTTCCCCACCCATACTACGAGAAAGCTTCTACTTGCTAGAGATTTCTGCCTTTGTTCTGTACCCTACCACAGCCTCCCAACCAAAGATGCAAGCCAGGGCATCTCAACCAGAGAGGCATCACTTAACATGTTAAACAGAGATTACTCCAAAAGATGCCTCTTAAAAAAAAAAAAAAAAAGATGCCTCTTAGCGTCCTTTTGTTGTACTGCTTCTTGGTGTGAGCTTTACAGTTGTTACAGTCACCAAGTGGATTATGACATGTGCTTTACACTTATGTGTCCAGTTACAGTTAAAATTACATTCTACATGGCAAGAAAGTTTTCCCCCCTTGAACAGCAAGTTACGTTGCAGGTGAGGGTCATTAGAAGGTCACCACCATCCCCATCATATACCATCATCCAAAGGTGGTCCTCCCCCTCACCCACCACCCCCAACAAGTGAGAATTCAGTTATTAACTATAAGGAATTAAGTAATATCTCAGCATTTGCCAAAAGAGGAGTCTCACTTCTTAACAGGTACCAGTTGCTTATTTATTTGATGAATACTTATTGGGGGCTTGCTAAGAGCCAGGTGCTGTACTAGGCAGTAGAAATTCAATGGGAAACAAAATAAACCTGGTCCCTGTACTCC